CTTTACACCTGTTGAACCAACATCTTATACAGCTATGTCTAGATGAGAAGAACAGAACACAGCATTATATAGTTAACACCTTCACTTTACACCTGTTGAACCAACATCTTATACAGCTATGTCTAGATGAGAAAAACAGAACACGGCATCATGTAGTTAACAACTTCACTTTACACCTGTTGAATAAATATTTAATACCGTTATGGCCAGATGAGAAGAACAAAACACAGCATCATGTAGTTAACACCTTCACTTTACACCTGTTGAATAAATATTTAATACTGTTATGTCCAAATGAGAAAAACAAAACACAGCATCATATAGTTAACACCTTAACTTTACATCTGTTGAATATATGTTTAATACAACTATGTCCAGATGAAAAGAACAGAACACAGCATTATATAGTTAACACCTTCACTTTACACCTGTTGAACCAACATCTTATACAGCTATGTCCAGATGAGAAGAACAGAACACAGCATCATGTAGTTAACACCTTCACTTTACACCTGTTGAACCAACATCTTATACAGCTATGTCCAGATGAGAAGAACAGAACACAGCATCATATAGCTAACACCTTAACTTTACATCTGTTGTATAAATATTTAACATAGCTATGGCCAGATAAAAACAGAACACAGCATCACATAGTTAACACCTTAACTTTACATGTGTTGAATAAATATTTAATATAGCTATGGCCAGATAAGAACGGAACACAGCATCATATCAACCAACTTCATTTTCAACAACACATATTTTCTTCAAATAGATGGTTTAAGTATGGACAATCCTCTTTCGCCTGTTCTTGCCAATATATTTATGACCCAGATCAAAACACAAGCCATATATATTCCGCGCTTCGTCCCCCACTATACTGGTACAGATATGTCGATGACACTTTTGCTGATTTCACTTCTACAGAACACACACTAACTTTCTTTAAACACATAAATTCTATTCATCCCAACATCAAATTTACCATAGAACATGAAAACAATAAACAGTTATCTTTTCTTAACCTCAGCATTGTTAGATCTGACACACAGTTTGAAACCAAAATTCACTGTAAGAACACGCACACCAGCTTCTACATCCCCTGGAATTCTACTCATGACACCACATAAAAAATCAATACACTCAAAAAACCCCATAAATACAGCCACAAGACTCTGTTCAACGGACTACATAAATGAATAAATCAACCACATAAAGCATTCCTTCATTCACACTAATAAATGTCCAATAGCTATTGTTGAAAAACTCTCCAACATTCTCCACAACAAAACTCAACTCACAAACAAAATTGATACTAACAAACCCAACAACAGAACATTACACTGCAGTTTACCTTTATTCTCTGAAACCAGCTCAAGAATTATCCACACTTGGACAAAACTAGCCTTTAAACACAATATTCCTGTCAACATCAAATTCTGTCAAAAATCCAGCCCTAAATTAAAATCGATACTAAAAAAAAATTATTTAGAATCACACAATACTAACGTCATTTACAAAATAACATGCAACAACTGCTTAGAATTCTACATCGGAGTAACAGGAAGAAAATTGGAAACCAGATTCACAGAACACAATAAAAAAAACCATCCCATGTTTTCCACCATTGCAACTCAAAAAACCATAGTATATCTATTAAAAACACAGTAATATTAAACAAAGAACCAAGCATAAACAAAATGAAAAATCAAGGAATCCATTAT